TGGAGGGGGCTGAAACTTCGAGTTGCCAGCAACAGCCAAGACACCTTAAGGATTTAGAGAAGATCTGTAAAGAAGAGTGGACCAAAGTCCCTCCTGAGACGTTCACAAACTTGGTGACCAGCTACAACAAACATCTTAGCTTTGTGCTTGCCAACAAGGGTTTCTCCACTAAGTACTAAGTTATGTTTCGCTTTGGGATCAAATTCTTATTTTACTCACTGAAATGCAACTCAGTTTATAACATTTGTATCATGTGCTTTTTTGTGATTTTTTTTTTTTTTAGACCCTTCATAAGTGTAAGTGGGCAAACCTACAACATCAGCAGGGGATCAAATAATTCTTTACCCCTGTATATACTGTAGCTTTAAGCAGAATGAAGATGCTCAGTTTCAGTATATCCTGACATTTTTAATCTTTTGTGAGAATATAATCTAAAAACACAATAGAAAAAATCTCAGTAGCACATATAAATGGATCTCGTAACTGTTGTGTCTCATTGAAACTGTGCAGACAGTACTGAACACATTGTTCTCTCTAACCCGACTAGATCATGCAACATTTCTTCCTCTAAATACACACCACACCTACTCTGTAGTAGGCTGGCCTGACCTTAAAGTCATTTACAGTCTGTTTTGCTGGAAACCAAGTATTTTATTGTTTCACTGTTCTAATCTCATGTTTCAATGTACTGTATCTGTGGTGTTAAAGAAGCTGGAACTTCTTGAACATTGGTTCATTGTTTCAATTATCTTTTTCATCTTGCCTCCACTTTGCTATGGAAATTTCATCTTGTTTAGGTCGGTGTGCTTCTAAATTCAAATACTGTATTAATATTAATGATTGAACACTTCACTGGTTAATAATAATTATACATCGGTGATACATCAGCCTCCAATAAACTATGCTGGATGGATGTGTCAGATTTGGCTGAGAATGAATGGAGGAGGCCCTGGATGTAATATTCATACTGCCCTACAAGAGCTTATGGTAAGCCTCATGATTATATAGCGCCGTAGGAAAGACGTATTTCTGTGGGCCAACCCAGAAATTAGCACCACCCTGGTTCCCTCGGCAAAAAGCCAAATGGGAGTTTTCCATCGACTTTTGGATTATTGTGGGAAATAAGCTTTGTGAGAAACAACACTTTATGACACTTCCACGTTTTGTTCAGTAAGACTCACTAGTCTCCTGTGATGACGTGTAAAATCCCAGACCGCCTCTGTTACTCTTTTAGCCACTTGTAAGCAACTGCCTTTTTTAATACACGTAAAAGCAAATCACAAGAGAGGTATTTAGTGGTATATTTTATGTTGTAGAACAAAACATGACAATACCACAGACTTTATTTCAGCCATCTAACCAAAACCCATTCAAAAAAGCCATTGAACTCAGGGGGAGGGAACCAGGATGAATAGACCAACCTTAACACAGGCAGCTCCATGTGTGGTGCAACATACTAGCCTATCATTTTATTTCATGTGATGCAACATTAAATGCAATTTGAGGAGTAGTCCAACCTCACCATATGCATTGATACATCCATGCATCCGTTATCTATACTGACCTGAATAGGGTCACGTGGGACTGGAACCAATCCCAGCTGACACTGGGCAAGAGGATGGGTCCACCCTGGACAGGTCGCCGGCCTATCACAAGCCCCAAAATGCCCACAAAGAATATTCCACAGTAAAAATACATTCAAAAGTGTGGGTGACTCTACACTATGAGGCTTCAGCAGTCTGAGTTTGACAGTTCATGTGACGAACTTCCAAAGTTACTGCCTTTTTAGTAACAAATTAACTCGTGCCCCCACAGCGGTGTTTCCTTGCTGATTTGTGGTAGAGATAGTAACACAAAGCTCGAGCCCAGAACCTTCTTGCTGTGAGGTGACAGTGCTAACCACTGCACTGATACACAGGGCTGTACTTTTTGCAACATTCAACAGAATGTAGGATCTGTGCTGGCTCCTCCCCCCTCTTCTGTCCATCTCTTTCAGTATGTTTACATGCTACAGTCAGTATTTACTGGTCAAGGTCAAAGTGTTTATTTGTCATATGCACAGGTAGGAAACATATTTCCCTGTACAATGAAATTCTTACTTTGCTGTCCACATGAATGCCACAAAAATACAAGTCAAATATAAAGTAGATAAACAAATAACACAAAATCTAAGGCACTTTAAGCAGCAAATGCAGCAATATAATAAAATACATAAGAATATAATAAATGTATGCTGCATTGGAGCAGCATGTGCAGCAGTCAATAGTCAATGTGCAATTATGCATGTGCAAACTGAGAATGTAAACAGTACATCACTAATTTCCTGGTAATAAACTCCTCAGCTGTTTAGGAGGCTGATGGCAGAGGGAAAGAAAGAGTTTTTCAGTCTGGAGGTCCTGCATTTCACACTTCTAAACCTCCGGCCAGAGGGTAGGGAGGCGAACACTCTGTCATGGGGGTGGGTTGGATCTTTGAGGATGGAGGCAGCTTTCCTACGCACCCTGCGGTGGTAAATGCTCTGCAGAGAGGGCAGTGGAGTCCTGGTGATCTTCTCTGCAGTCTTTACCACTCTCTGCAGGCGCTTACAGTCCATAGCAGTAGTGCTGCCGTACCAGACAGTGATGCAGCTGGTCAGGATGCTCTCAATGATGCAGCTGTAGAAGTTGCAAAGGATCCTAGGCGACATGCCAAACCTCCTCAGCCTCAAAACACTTCATAATAATTGGGGTGTGTGCCACTGGCCTGTAGTCGTTCAGGCAGGTGACCGGGCTCCTCTTGGGAAGGGGGACGATGGTTGTGGTCTTAAAGCAGGTGGGAACAATGCTCTGGCTGAGGGAGAGGATGAAGGTGGTGGTGAGAACATCAGCCAGCTCACTGGCACATTCCCTGAGAACCCTCCCAGGGATGTTGTCCGGTCCTGCCACTTTGCGGGGGTTGATCTTCCTCAGGACTGTGCGTACCTGGCCTGGTGAGACAGTTAGTGGAGGGGAGGTGGGGGGGTCTTGGTGTGTGTGTACCTCCTCTCTTGGTGTGTGTGTGCTGTGGCTGGAGGTCTCAAAGAGGGTGACAGTGCAGGCAGGAGTGGCACCAGGGGTGGCACAGAGGGTGGCACCAGCATTGGCCAATCAGATTCTGGTGGTGGCCAGTGCCACCTCCTGAATCCATCCATGGACACAACAGGGCTTTCTTGTGTGAAAGATTTCATAAGTGGGCCAATTCTAACGTCCTTTAAACACTGAACAATACATAGCCCAGGCAAAGGGGCACATTCCTTCATCTGTACTTTGCAGCTTTGTACTCCGTCTCATCACCTGATCTGAATGCATGAGAGCGTGCATGCAGCCTGTGGCGTACCTGACTGTTTATCCAGGGCTTCTGGTTGGGAAACCTCCTGACTTGTATGGTGGGCACAATGTTGTCAATACAGATACTAATGTATCCGGTCACATACTCAGCATAATCCTGTACGCTGACAGAAAGGTCCTCTGAGGTGGCCGCAGCT